ACCAACAGATCCATTTGGTTAACCCTAAAGGGTGTGTCTTATCGGCGGACGGCACGCATCCCGTGCAGAGTCGCCACTGTTCGGTGATTCCCAAACAGGTCCAGATTGGCATCGGTCTCGTCGCCGCTGTTGGCGTACTATTACTGGCGCTCGTGTTTCACTTCTGGAAGAAGAATAGGTCTCTGGAGTACAAGTACTGCAAACTAGTCGAAGGACACGAAGACAAGTCGTCGGCCGAGTGTTGCGCCGAAGAGGAGGACGACGACGATAACGATTGCGACGATCAGGTGATGATTCACCCGAAAAAGCCCAAAGAGGTGTACGAAGAGGGCTATGAGACCATTCAGTTGACCAAAAATCGTAACACAGATATGGTTTAACATCACACCAGCCGTTGTGTTGTGCTTTCATTGCATTTATTTGATCCCATAATTGGTTTTTACTGTTGTTTTACGTATTTGTTGAACAAATTCTTGTCATTTATTTCTAGTCATTAATTATCTTAAACGTCAGTTTGTTTTTTACCCAAAGTATGGTAACCATTGTCTCTGTTTCTGAGCTGACCATCAGTTTTGGTCACTTGAATTCGAGGACCAAATCCGACTAAAAGTGATATATCTATAGACTTTTAGTGTAGGAATTAATGGTAATCTGTTTTGAATCCGCATTTTATTGACTTATTTTATAATATTTAGCATTTTATTTAATTTTTTATGTTTGCCTTTTAATCCTTTTATACCTCTTAAGGGTTGTTGTGGTATTCAGTAGTGCTTTTCCGATAGTAATCTTAATCTATGAAAAAGTGAGTTAAATATGCATTTATTTTATTGATGTCTCGTTTGATTACACGATAAGAATTGAATATTTTTCTAACAAAAAAAATGTTTCAATCATTTCTACTTAATTGTGAAAAATGTGTTTTTTTATCAAAAAATCTATTGAAAACATTACCAAAGATATCATTCCAGGGGTTTATTTGAACAAATATTTGGATCTCTTTTATAATGTATTTAACGAAATAATGAATTTATTTATTTGACAAAATTGTTAACACTTTTCCGATTGTTTCTAATCATATCTCTAGTCATAGAATGAAAAAAGTTTTACTCAAAGTTTTTAATGTAATGTTTAATTATTTTATTGTTTTCTTCGGTGAAAACCAAATATTTTTTATCATTTATTTAAAGCATTTATTTATATTCTCAGTATTTCTAAAAACTTAAATATTATTACTCATTATTAAATTATAAAAACTTTTAAATGAAAAATTATAACATTATTATAAGTGATTTACAATAAAAATCTATTTAAACAAAAACAACTATTAATAGGTATTGATTACAATTTGATATATGAATGTGAAACTACCCTAATATTAGGTATGTATTAACTGTTCATGGTAACTAAATTAAATATATTTATACAAATTAATAACAATTTGAAAAAATTAATAATTTATTTGTTTAATATTTTTGGTTAATATAAACTTCACATTTCAATGGATAATAAAAATATAAAACCAAAAAATGAGGTAAATTTTATAACGAAATTAATAATTAATAAATTGTGAGATAAATAAAAGTACTGTTAAAATGAAATACAATTTGTTTATCACTTTTGTTTAGCGAATGAGAGGAATATCTGCTCCAAAGTGGTGTCGCTTAGGTTATAGTCTTCGAGATCGAGCTCTTGTTGTGCGCTTTGCATCACTTTAAACATCGCCGACCATTGGGTTGAGGTGTCGGTGATGTGGTAGTNTCTTCGAGATCGAGCTCTTGTTGTGCGCTTTGCATCACTTTAAACATCGCCGACCATTGGGTTGAGGTGTCGGTGATGTGGAAGTGGACGAGACACTCGTGTCGGTCGCGCACTTCAGCCGATGGGAAGTGTTGTTTCACGTATTGGTCCACTCGGTTCGGATACGACTGGTCTTTGGTCACCAAATCGATCTTCATTTTGATGTTGAGAGTGAATCCCTGTCCAAACTTTGATATCAGCTGTTGTGTAGATCCCAAGCATTTGAACGATCCGTTAACCATAATGGCTATGCGAGCGCACAGGGCTTCCGACTCTTCCATCGAATGACTGGTCAGTATTATCGACGAGTTCTGGCGATTCTTCAACACATCCAATGTCTGCCATATCTTGCGTCGGGCGACCGGATCCACGCCTGCCGTCGGTTCGTCCAGAAACACAAGCGCCGGTCGACCGATGATCGCCAAACCCAACGATAGTTTACGTTTATTACCTCCGCTGTAGTTCTTTGTCGTGTGTTTGCAGTGAAGCTGGAGATCAATGGCGTGTATGACTGCTGTGACCGCGGCGTCCATGTGTTCGGCGGGTATTCCTCGCAATCGAGCAAATAAGTAGAGCATCTCTTCGCCGGTCAGTCGATCCAGAAGTGCGTCAAACTGTGGACAATAGCCGATACGGCGACCGAAAGGCTTCGGCTGTTGAACCAAATCGACGGAATCGATGTAAGCGTTGCCGTCGTTAGGGAACAGCTCTCCGGTGAGCATTGAAAACGTTGTGGTCTTTCCGGCGCCGTTCACTCCCAACAGACCGAAGCACTCGTTCTTATGGACACCGAATGTCAAGTGATCTACAGCTTGAAAGTTGCCGAAACTCTTACACAGATTGACCACAACAATGCCCTCCTGTGCCCTCAGCTCCGGGCTCTTCATGAGCTGATCCACGCGCTGTCGTTCGGCCAACACATCCGCGTCTTGACTACCATTGGACACGAGATGGAGATTCGGGGAGTAATTCTTTCGGCGAAAAATTAGACAAAGATTTTCTGAAATAAAAAAAGCCATAAATTAAGTCAATAATGCATTTGTATTGTTAAAAGTGGTATCAAATCAAAAGCCAAACCTTCGATAATCAATAACACGATTATGAATAACAGCGCCGATAATATCAGACCGATTAGCTCGCGGCCAATGCCCAGTGGATGGAAAGTCAGAGGATTCAAGTGTTTACACGCAGTCATGTTGTTGTAGTAATCGGCCAATTTGGACGGGAAATTTGGCGGCCACTGGTCGGGCCATTCGGTGGGAAACGTGTTTGGGGGCCAAAGGCTGCCGAACTGCTCTTTAATCATATCCATTTGTTTGGCGCACAACTGTTTGTTCACATTAATCATATCTACAGCGTGAAAGTTGCCGAAACTCTTACACAGATTCACCACAACAATGCCCTCCTGTGCCCTCAGCCCAGGGCTCTTCATGAGCTGATCCACGCGCTGTCGTTCGGCCAACACATCCGCGTCTTGACTACCATTGGCCACGAGATGGAGATTCGGGGAGTAATTCTTTCGGCGAAAAATTAGACAAAGATTTTCTGAAATAAAAAAGCCATAAAATAAGTCAATAATGCATTTGTATTGTCAAAAGTGGTATCAAATCAAAAGCCAAACCTTCGATAATCAATAACACGATTATGAATAACAGCGCCGATACTATCAGACCGATGAGCTCCCGGCCAATACCCAGCGAATGGAAAGTCAGAGGATTCAATTGTTTACACGCAGTCATGTTGTTGTAGTAATCGGCCAATTTGGGCGGGAAATTTGGCGGCCACTGGTCGGGCCATTCGGTGGGAAACGTGTTTGGGGGCCAAAGGCTGCCGAACTGCTCTTTAATCATATCCATTTGTTTGGCGCACAACTGTTTGTTCACATTAATCATATAGATCTTTGTGAAGCCATAGTTTAACGAGAATATGGGTATCAATCGGAACGCGTGTAGAATAAAACCGTCCTCTTGTGGTACGTTAGTGAAAGTGTAAAGCAAGTAAAGGCCCGAATAAATNCACATTAATCATATAGATCTTTGTGAAGCCATAGTTTAACGAGAATATGGGTATCAATCGGAACGCGTGTAGAATAAAACCGTCCTCTTGTGGTACGTTAGTGAAAGTGTAAAGCAAGTAAAGGCCCGAATAAATGGCATTCACAATGAAACCAAACACCAGATAAAACACCAGTAATAGTGAGAAACCAATTGGCGATGAGTTGAACCAAAAGGAGAGACAATAGGCTATGGATATCGACGACAAACCAAATGCCAGTAACAGTAGAAAGAAAGCGGTGCCCGACTGCCAGCCCTTGAAGAACGCTTGGTTTACGTCAAAAATATAGACCACAAGTGATAATAGTGTGATCGCCAACAAGTGGTTCAATATATCAAACAAGTAGTTTGACAGCCAATACACGGCCGAAGACAGACCAGTCATCAGTTGCAGGGCTTTGGACTTCGAGACCCTCTCAATGATCGGGAATATGAGGTAAGAGGCGGCCAAAAATGGTAACGTAATGGGCATTAAAAATATGCACGAGACGGCGGCGCCCATCATACTGCTCCTCAAAGCTTCGTTATACACTTTGGCCGCACCGGTGCCGACGAAGATCAGATCTATGAGCGGTTCTATAATTGTGGTGATCGTGAAGTCCTTAAGTTTGAGCACCGATTGGCGGACGAGTGACTCATACATCAAGTTTATGGACAGCGGGAGTGAATGAGTGGACTCGTAGTTAAACCATATCTGGGGGTTGAGAGTACCGGACATGTTGCTGACGGCGCCGCCCAACACATACTTCAACACGTATTGCTCAAAGTCGCGACTCTTTTCCAGCAGCCAATCCTTTGGATCAGTTGTTTTGGGCAATAGGTTTGCGGTCACGCCGTGTCTCTCGGCGTTCGGTATGTAGTGATTGGCGCCAAAGTTGCGAGTCGTTGGGTCCAAGTCGTGGTAGAATCCAATCGTACGGCCGTATAGTTCCTGGAGATCGAGTGTTATTGACTTAGACTTCTCAGTGGTCGCAGATCTGACACTATTGTCGGCCAGAAAGACAAGTATGAAGAGTACGGCCGGAATCACAATCTGGAACAACAACATCGCCCAATGTCTGCGACTGTAATGGAAACGCTTCACCAGAAGACCCAATACTGACATTTGGATCAGTTTAAAGCCGTCCTCATTCTTGTACTGCTTCGCTGTCTTCTCCTGCGAAGCCTTCTTTCCGTTGTCCACCTCTTCATTGGAACCGACTTTGAGGAACACGTCTTCCATTGTGGTCACAGTTATGCCAAATGAGTTGAATCCGAGCTCTTGTTTACGGCTCTCGAGTTCGTCAAAGAGTTTCGGGAATATATTTTTGTCGGTCTGTTTCGAGCGGTCGTCGGATTCGAGTGAATAAATCACTTCAGTATTGATCTCACTTTGAAGACGACTTTCCGGCAAATACTTCTTGAGAGTCGTGTCAACCGATTGTTTGTTATAATTGTCTGTCTTTGCAATTCTGAGGTGATATCCGGCGCCGAATCGCTTCTTCAGAAACATCGGAGAACCGCAACACTTGAGCACTCCTTCAGACATAATCGCTATTCTGTCGCCCAATACCTGAGTGGACACAAAGTTAGAGTTATTCTGAGGTGATATCCGGCGCCGAATCGCTTCTTGAGAAACATCGGAGAACCGCAACACTTGAGCACTCCTTCAGACATAATCGCTATTCTGTCGCCCAATATCTGAGTGGACACAAAGTTAGAGTTCAGGTAATTGACAATTCATGGAAAACAATGTGGTAATGATCTCACGTCCGCCTCTTCCATGTAATGAGTGGTCAGAAGTATAGTCTTCTCTCTGCGGACGTGTTGTAAGACATCCCAAATGGCTCGACGGGCCTCAGGATCCATACCAGAGGTCGGCTCATCCAGAATCAAGACTTCTGTTGTGCCGATGATAGCGATTCCTAGACTTAGCTTCCGTTTCATACCTCCGGAGAGGACTGAACTCTTCCAATGCCTTTTGTCACTCAATCGGATTATTGTCAGCACTCGAGTGATTTCAGACCCAATCTTATCGCTCGGGATGTCCTTCAATACAGCGTAGAGTTGGAGGTGTTGTTCAACAGACAAGTCGTTGAAAAGTATGTTTTCCTTTAGAAATGAAACAAAAATTAGTAATAAATTCACTGATAATTGACTGATTGACACAAACCTGTGGACAATAGCCGATACTCTTTCGTGCCTCACGAGTGGCGGTCGACACGTCGTAACCGTTGACCAGTATTTTGCCCGAAGAGGGAGGATATATACCGGTAATCATATTCATTGTAGTGGTCTTTCCGGCGCCGTTGTGTCCCAACAGACAAGTGATTTGTTGACTCAATATATCCAAAGACATGTGTTTAACACCTCTTCCGGCGCCGAAATCTTTGCTCACATTTCGCAACGAAATCATTG